CCGCCAGGTGCCGGCCCGCCGGCCACCCCCCGCCCGGCCCCCGCGGAGTGCTGCGCTGCCGGCATCCCACTGCCTGCACCCGCAGAGAGCTGCGCTGCCAGCATCCCGCTGCCTGCACCCGCAGAGTGCTGCGCTGCCGGCATCCCGCTGCCCGCACCCCGCACTGGAGGCAGGGCTTGTTTTTTGCTTCGCAATTTCCTGCAACCTTGCTTTTTCAGAAAAACACCCCCATTCCAGAGCAAGTATGACATGTTGGGATGCTCCCTGGCATTTCATCCACAGGAGAAGCCTCTTTTTTTCAGCGGGGCCAATGTTTACAAGTACAGGCTGGGCGGAGAATGGACTGAGAGCAGCCCTGCAGGGAAGGACTTGGGATGTTGGTTGATGAGAAGCTCAACGTGAGCCAGCAACATGCGCTCGCAGCCCAGAAAGCCAACCGTACCCTGGGCTGCATCCAAAGAAGCATGTCCAGCAGGGCGAGGGAGGGGATTCTGCCCCTTTACTCCACATAAGAAGGACATGGACCTGTTGGAGCGAGTCCAGAGGAGGCCACGAAGATGATCAGGGGCTGGAGCACCTCTCCTATGAGGACAAGCTGGGAGAGCTGGCATTGTTCAGCCTGGAGAAGAGGAGGCTCCAGGGAGACCTTACAGCAGCCTCCCAGTGCCTGAAGGGGGCCTGGAGAGCCGGGACGGAAGGGGACCTGAAGCTGGAGAGGGACTTTTTACAAGGGCACGTAGCGATAGGACACGGGGTAATGGCTTAACTGAAAGAGAGGGTAGATTTGGATTAGATATAAGGACAAAATTCCTCACTCTGAGGGTGGTGAGGCACTGGCACAGGTTGCCCGGAGAAGCTGTGGCTGCCCCATCCCTGGCAGCGTTCAAGGCCAGGTTGGATGGGGCTCTGAGCAACCCGGTCCGGTGGAAGGTGTCCCTGCCACGGCAGGGGGTCGGAACCAGGTGATCTTTAAGGTCCCTTCCAACCCAAACCATTCTGTGATTTCAGCCTCGCTGCAAGTGTTTCTGCTGCAGGGGTTAACCGAGCACATCCGTACCACCGCACTTTTTACTGAGATGTGAGTTTTAGGGGAAAATTATTCTTTCTCTCTGCTCCGTCCCTGCAATAACAAAGGCGGCGGCGGCTTTTATTTGCAATGCTCTAAGTTTCCTGGGGAGCACGGCTCTCCTCTCTGTTAGCATCGGCCACACTCTGCGTCCCCGCAGGCGGGGCCGTGCTTGCTTAGCGATGCTTCAGCCCAGGCAGCTGATGGTATCGCTGGAGAAAAGCAACAGCACGCTGAGCCTGAGCGACCCGAGCAAGATGGGGTTCCGTAGGATCCCGCCGCTTCCCTCTCCCACGGCGCGGGAATGGCATCCCACCACACAAACGGGGGGCTGCTGCATTTTGCAGGGGGTTTGAGTGCTCTGGTTGCAGCAGTCGCGGTAATTCAGCATCGTGGAGGTGTCTGCTGGTATGCAGAGGTCTTCTCCATCGCGGGGGTCATGGGTGACGTGTTGGGCTGTAACTGTTAATGACGTTGGGTCCATCAGTACTGCGGTCCATGGGCTGGATGCAGACATGCCCGACTACTCCCCATCCTTAACAGGTTTGTTAATACAGGTCGGAAAGACATTTCTCCCTTCCTCTGGTCTCCCCGCTGCGTTTCCCTTCCCTCTGCTGAGACGCAAGCATTAAATTCCCAGCTTAGCAGAACAGGGTTCGGTGTCAAATGCTTCATTTCAGGTTTTTGTGAGGAGCCAGTTCATTTACAAATCGCCAGCTGGAAGTTATTAGGCCCTTAAAACAAAATAAATTACTGCAAAATTGTGCCTCCCTGCAGTTGGTCTGCTATTAATTTGTGCTGAGCGCTGGAGCCAGTGAAACCCCAGCCCGCTGGCTTTTTTCTTCCCCTCTGGCATCTTTCTGCACGACGGAAGGGGCAGCGAGACGGAGGGTGCGGGGAGAGGCTGAGATTGCAGGTGCCCGGTTCTCCATCGATGCTGGGTCCATCCAACGGTAGCTGCTTTATTCCCCGCTTTCTGCTGAAAAGCAGCGTGCTTTAGGAAGCGGCGAGGACTTGCTGGGAGGAAAAATGAGTGTAAAAAATGTGGAAAAATGGGCTAAATATATTTTTTAATTATTCAATCATTTTTACCTTTTCAACCCTCGCTTTTTGTTATCCTTTCCACTGAAGACTACCTCTAGCATCATCTGGGGGTCTCCTC